TGTGTGTGTGTGTGTGTGTGTGTGTGTGTGTGTGTGTGTGTGTGTGTCTATGTGTCAGTAGTTTTAAATTTATCACAAACAGACAAGACAACCTTCTGTGTTGTCCAGGGGCCCAGGATTATTAGAAAGTTAGTTTGGTGGGAGAAGCCAAGAAGGATAGAAAGTATGTGAGACTAATTAGTGTTTTAAAGAAACAAAATTGTCCTATTGTATCAGCCTTCTCAGGTGGTGAAGAATAATTATCACCTTGCTCCAAGGACACAAATGTCTTTCCTTTTCAGTAGTACAGCCCCCGCTTCATTGAAAGGAGGTTCTTATACCTGATTTAAATTTGAATATTTTCCGTATCTTTGCAATATTGAAGAACTCAGGTCATGAATCAGCTTTCACAAACTAGATTAAGACTGGTAAATCGTAATGGGTGGCAGGTGTGTCTACCTCTGCACAAATCCCTATTACTTCTCTAGAAATAGTATATGTTCAATAGGCTTTTGTGTGCTGCTCTAAGAACCTAATTACAAATAATTTTTTTGTTGTTCTCACTCATGAACTTAGGGAGTGGAACTTGATCGTTAGGGACCATGTGTATTGTAATTTAAGAATCAGTAAAACCTAAGCATAAAAGTTTGCCTGATCCTTTGTTGTTATTAGTTCCTGAATGCTTGTTAGCACATCCACATGAGATGTTAGCTAGAAATTCTCACAACTTTGTGGCAAAAGAACTGAATGAACATGAAAGTCTATTTACATCTCTTTACATACTCTTCTGAACCCTTTTAATGGACCTATGTATATTTTTGCATTGTTATCATTATATACATACTACTTTTTATTCCGATTTTTTTACTTAACATTTCATATGTGTACCCATTTTCTATATTAATATAATCTACATAATTAGCCCTTAAATGGTCACATAGCATTGTGTTGCTGGAATACACCACAGTTCTGAGGTTTTTGCATCATTTCCAGTTTTTCACAAGTACACACTTGTTCTTTTTAACAGAAGCATTACACAAGGTAAGCTCATGGCTGAGGGTTATTTCATTGTGCCTTTTATAGTGATCCTGTCATTGACTTAAGCCAGTATTTCCAGGAGTAGAGCCTTCAGATCTGTTATGGTCTACCCGATATGATTAGTAATCCTGGGGGAAAAACTGAATGCAGGCAATATTTTCTCCTTGAAAATATTAAATGTGCAGTGTTTACTACATGGAGCATTTTGAGGGGATATAAAAGTAAACTTAGTTTTCCAGTTCCCTTTACCTTAGAGTTATTACATACGCCTAGATAAGGGATCAGCAGTGGGCAAGATTTGTCTCTCTGGCCATAGTTTACCAACCTCTTATCTAAATGATCATTTATTAGTTTTGTCAGTATATTTCAAACCTAGGAGTAATCTGTGGCCAAAATAATTTTAGAAGTGTTTCCCTAAGTAGCTTACTCATTTATCTTTCAATTCTCAGCTTGTCCTCTCCTTGCAACCCTAGATTACAAGGTTTACTCTTTTCCCCTTTGTCTCAGTTTGATAGAAAATAAAGAACCTGTTTTTCTACATGTAAGCAAAATACTTTTTTTTTCTTGCAGCATTCCCTCATTTATAGCTGTGTGTACAAGTGCCTCTTGGAAGTACAGATATTTTCATCATGCCGACCGTGGTGGTGATGGATGTGTCACTGTCTATGACTCGACCTGTCTCTATCGAGGGATCAGAAGAATATCAGCGAAAACACCTAGCTGCCCATGGTTTAACTATGTTATTTGAGCACATGGCTACCAATTACAAGCTTGAGTTTACAGCCTTGGTGGTTTTTTCTTCACTTTGGGAGCTGATGGTCCCTTTTACAAGAGATTATAACACTCTTCAGGTAAAATTAATCAACATGCATTGATTAAGTATTTATGTACCAGGCATTGTGCTAAGCACTGGTACAGTAAGAAATGAAGTATTTTCTATAGTAATCATGCTGAATTCACAAGCATTGATATAATATTTTACAGTATGTCTGGAATTACAAGGCTTACGGTCCTTAATATTAAAGCATAGCTATGTAGCAGGTGTCTTCAAATAGTAGTAAACTAGAATCTCCTGATAGATCTTAAAACCTTACCTTATTGAACTCTAAGCTGTTCACAACAGTCATGCTCTGTGTAACACAACCCTTTTCCATGGTTTTGACAAAATTCCCAGAGGAAATAAAACAAGTAGCCATAGCCCACTTCCTTCTATACTGCACTCATAATCAAACAGACCCTTCTCAGACCCAAAGTGAGACACTCTTTTTCAGGGTTTTAGCATTTTTAGAAATACTGGGAATCATAGGGTACATTTTCAAAAGATTCCAAGTTTAATGATTCCTTGTTTTGGCCTAACTATAGTTCTTTAGCCCAGGTGTAAACATGGATGGGTTATTCGGAATCCCATCAAGTAAAAGGAAGGAATAAAGGAAGTTTTAAACATTCTCTTTATTAGTGATAGTACTAAAAATAACATATATGTATATGTGTTTACATACATGTATGTGTGTGTGTTGTGCTTTAAGGTTTACTAAGTTCCTTATATACATTACTTCAGTTGATCCTCACAACAACCTTATGAAGGAGGTACTATTCTTATCCCCATTTTATAGGTGTAGATAGTGAGATTAAGTGACTTACCCAGGGTCCCACAACTAGTATGTGTGAGGCAGGACGGGAACCTGGGTCTTCCTGACTTCACATCCAGTGCTCTATGTCTGAAAAAAGTTAAAACCTTTCACAGTTTTATTTTAGAGGATAATTTAAAATTTGGACTAGCTGGATCTTAGGAATATATTGTTCCTTATGTAACATTGGCATCTTGAACAATTCATGCTGTTTTTATGGAACTAGTTAATGCAGTAAAGAAGAATGAATAACTGTCTTTTTTTCACTCAGGAAGCACTGAGTAATATGGATGATTATGATAAAACATGTTTAGAGTCTGCATTACTTGGTGTTTGCAATATTGTTCAACAAGAATGGGGTGGCTCGATTCCTTGCCAGGTAACAATTCATTTTCATTTCACTGAATTTCAGATATTAACCAATGAAGTATCTGATAAAAGATAGGTTTTATAATTTTTATGAACTTTGCTATGTTTCTATATAGAGAAATATATATATAATTTTATTTTATGTCTAATATAGTTACATAATTTCTTATAACCATTGTTACGTAATTTCTATAAACTTTACCTACATGGTTATTGTTGGTATATAATTTTTAAAAAGGCACTAAGTTTTGTATATTCAGTTCCACAAAAATTATATGTAATGGATATTGTGAACTTAGTACTATTTTGTATAGAACATAAAAGTATACTTCAGTGGAATTTTAGAATCACTTTCTTAGGGTGAGTGAAATTTTAGTAGCAGGCTTAAAATGCCAGTATGTAACACCACCACTTATGCAAAACTTGCCTTACTAAATAGGACCAGAAAAGCCAGCTATTTAACTAGACTTAGATATAGAATTAAAGTTGATGATTTAAGTAGCTTGCTTGTCTGGTTTCCCCTGTAAACTTTCCATTTTTAAATAAGATAGCAGTTAAAAGTAGCAAAGAAGTCTTCTAGAAGAAGATGCCTTTGAAAGTAGACATGTTGAAAATTGACATACATATAAATTGCAAAAAAGTGGAAATAGCCTTAGTGTCCAACAATAGGGGAATGATCAAATAAATTGTGGAACATTAGTATAATGGAATACTATAATGAAATGAAGGCTAGCAAATAAGAAGAATACAAAGAAATCTGGGAAGACGTTTTTGAAATACTACAAAATGAAAAAAGCAGAACTAAAAGAATGGAGGACACATAAATCAGGACCATATATGAGGAAAAGTGAATGAAAAAGGATAGATACAAAAATCCTGTTAAGAACTTAAATGTAAATGGTTATTAAGAACATTTAGTTGGCTTTATTGATGTTCAATATTAAATTTTTAATGAAGTATTTAATTTTGTTAAAGTGACAGTTGATAGCCAGGGAGACAAAAGAAAAATTAGATTTGTTCTGTTTGTCCCGAAAAGGTATCCAAAATGGTGGACTCACAGATCCTGTGAAGTATATTGTTCAAAGGCACTGTGCTGGCTTCTAACAATACAAATGCAATCTTTTGGGAGGCATCAACCGTTTCTTTAAATAGGTCATGTTGGAATTGTTTCAGTTATGTACTACAGCTTCTCATTTTTATTCTTTCTAATTTGCTATAAAAAGCTGATTGTCGGGGTGGCTAGGTGGCACAGTGGATAGAGTACCAGCCCTGGATTCAGGAGGACCTGAGTTCAAATCTGGCCTCAGACACATAACACTTACTAGCTGTGTGACCCTAGGCAAGTCACTTAACCCCATTGCCTAACCAAAAAATAAATAAATAAATAAATAAAATATATTGGGCATTTAAAAAAAAAAAGCTGATTGTCTACCTTTGAATACAGTTGATTCAGAAATGATACCCATGTTAGTAGGTTACTAATTTCCTTTCTATTAGAACATTATCAGTTTCACTTTTGATAAGGTTAGTTGGTACTTGACATGTCCAGCATCTATTGACTTTCTTTGTGAAGGTTTTCATTATATGTAGGTGTGAGGCCTCTGTATAGTCTCATTTCTGAATGCTGGACCATATTTTCCAGTATATGCTTTATTCTCCTCCCTTGTGGGGTTTTAGTTAAGTTCTTTCTTGAATTTCTTTACCTCTTCATCCTCTGCAACAGATCTGAATTGGCATCTAAGTTGTAGTTTCTTTGTAATGGTCTATCTGTAAACGTTTGCAACAATGATTGCAATACCAGATGAGCAAGTGTCCTGTTGAATGATGTTTCTTGTGTTTAGGCACATGATAAAAGCCATTGAACCAATACTTTTATTTGTCTCTATAGTGAGAAAATGAACTTCCTTTCTACTTATCTGCACTTATTTTGTTTTATGCTTCCATTTATAGCAGGAATGTCAAAATCAGAATGATTCAATTCCTCTTATAATAAGTATATATTGGTACTCATATTTAGAGTTCCAGCAGTCATGTTTACAGACAGTAATTAAACCATTATTCTTAGCATTCTCTGTGCCTGTTTCTACTGCTATAGTCATTGCAGAAATGGAGCCCCATAGGAGTGAAGACCATTTTATTTTTCTTTGTTTCATGAGTCACCTTGGCTAAAGATTTCATCACCGTGTGGTCAGCTTACTGGTAATGAGTAATTAGTTAGGTTGGTCCTCAGAAAGTCAACTTAAAATGTTACCAGGCCTACACTCGAAGCTATTACAGTATAGTAAAACATGACAGAGCTCACAGGCCTCTGGCTTAGCCTGGAAACCCCAAGGTCACCTCCTTTGCTGCCACAGTGGAATAGTGCTTTGTGGGTGGCCTTGCATATAGCAAGAACTTCATAAATAGTTGTTGAATTGAATTGAAATCAACCTGGGATCGCTTTATGAATCAGCAGTTCTGGCTCAAAATAATTTTGTGTTTTTTATTAAGAAGATCTGTCTGCAGATGACATTTATAATAAATAATAATGCATTTTAGTATCAACTGTTACTGGACTGGTTTGGTTTAATGTGAGATTTGGTTACCAAGATTTTAGGCAGCTATGATATGTCTTTGTTATCTGGATGTAGCACATACCTCCCATTTTGACTTTATATATAATATTTCATTATCACAGCATCTGGCAGAGCCTCTGTCATAAGTAAAGGATGAAACATAAAACATTTGGTGGTGCCTGGAAGATGTAGTTGCCTTGTAGTAAACTGACTGTCCCCATGACGGATTACCCTTTCAGGTGCCCTTCCCCCTTAGCAGTTGTTCTGTCTTCAAAGTAGCATATGCCATTTTGTCGTCATTGCAAGTTGTTAAATAAGCACATAAGTAATCTTGTACTGATGGTCCATTGTTACCAGAGATCCAGTCAAGGGAGAACGAAAACAGGCACACTATGTGTAAATAGAGAATACTCTCCAAAAATGTGCTACAATTTCACAATGCTTAGAAAGTAATGGAGAAGTTAATCATTTTTGCAATTCTGTCTACTCGTTACATTGAGTACATTAACGTCTGCAGCTAGAGCTGGATGCATTTACAAAGGCTGCATTGTGTGGTTTTTGTATTAAACAGAAGTATAAGAAAATATTTTTGTGGAGTTTATAGTTTGGGTATGTTCATTTAGGACAGGGATTGCCAGCCTTTCAGTAGTAGTATGTCAAGAGTCTGACCCTTGTTCTTCTTATATGGCCTGAGAGGCAAGCTACTGTTGCTTTAGAGTGAAGGGGGTGAGCTGATTATCATGTAGTGACTGACAACCCCAAGTCAGGAGATAGGAGTCTAGTTTCAAAATGTGACAAAGCAACTAATGGGTCTTGAGGTGTTGGGTTTTTTTAAATATTTAGAAGATTTTGATTGTTAAAGCAGCTAAGGAAAAATTAAAACATTGTTAAGTCTTATTGTTTAAGTATATATTTATTTAAATTATAAATCTTTACCTTCTTCTGTAAATAGGTTGTTCTAGTAACTGATGGATGTCTAGGCATTGGGAGAGGTTCACTGCGCCACTCGCTAGCGACTCAAAATCAACGAAGTGACAGTAATAGATTTCCTCTGCCTTTTCCTTTTCCATCTAAGTTATACATCATGTGCATGGCAAATTTGGAAGAGGTAAATTCTTCTACCTTAACAGTGAGCTAACTGTGATTTGATGGAATTCCCAAGTACTCTTTTAAGTTCTGCATTGTTGCTACATTGCCATGAGGACATACCTGAAGTCATTTTCTCTGGGCTGTTTCTCACGGGAGATGTTCAGATAGTGAATAGTTGAGATATTCTCTTCTGTAGTAAAGTGTCTCTCCTGCTGAGTAGTATCTCATTCTGTGCCTAAAGAAATATTGAAAAAAGTAGACTTTGAGCCTTAGTTTGAGAAACATTGTCCTTTTCTATGTTTCATTTATAAACACTTCTCAGTTTTTCCATTTACTTGAAGAAGTCATTTAATGTTTAAACAACAAACCAGAGGTTGTTAAAAACTATTACTTTGACATCCTTGCGGGGGGGGGGGGGGGGGGTGGAGGGGGGAATCATGGGTAAATACCAATTGTTCACCTCTGAGACAGTGAGTTATATATGATATTTTCATTTTATGAAATGATTTTCCTATTTCCTTCAATCAAGACTATTAGAGTTGTTTTTTTAAAGACTTAAAATTATTTTTTCTCTTATCTGCCATAAAATATCTTGATTTTTATTGTCTATGTTATCTTGGCTTTGACCTGAGTGAGCTGATATTTATTTGGCATTTTCTGCATCTTTTAAGAGAGATTTTCCTGCTTTATAGCTCCAGAGCTCAGATTCCCTCGATTGTCTTGAACAACTCATAGACTTAAACAATGGCGAAGGACAGATTTTTACCATTGATGGTCCCCTGTGTTTGAAGAATGTACAGTCTATGTTTGGGTGAGTCTATGTTTGGAACTTAACAACTTTCTTATAATCTATCATTATAATTTAACATTAGAACTCAAGCATCTATGTTGTTATTTTGAACTGTGACATTGTGTTTCCCTATATTGCCCATTTTAAAGATGTAATAGTTAGTATAACTGATATTTTTAAGTACAGATGAAATGGTAATGTCTATGGTTATCTCTCCACAATAATTCCGCACTTTCAAAGATGAATTTGCTCTTGGGCTTTTTTCAGATGAATTCCTATATTAAGAATGTCATGTTTCGTTGTACTTCACAAATAAGTTGGTTAGACTTCAGTTGTGAAGTAATCTTAAAGGAAAACAAGTTTACATCTTTCATTAGTATTTTCAGTTACTTTTGAATATTACTCTAGCACTTAATAATGAATCATCACATTTTAGGAAACTGATAGACCTGGCATATACACCTTTCCATGCTGTTCTCAAATGTGGTCACTTAACATCTGATGTGCAAGTCTTCCCTAGACCAGAACCTTTTATTATAGATGAAGAAATTGATCCTATTCCTAAAGTAATAAATACAGGTAATTTTAAAAAATATATTTCTATATTACTTTTCTGTCTTCTTTTCCTGTTGAGCTTCTCGTCCCTCTTCTGGCTTATTTCTTTCTTCTAGGTTTAACACATAATGTTGGCACTGTTACTGGTCATGGTGTCATTATTAGAATTTGCTTTGGACAGGAGGTTGTGATATCTGAAAGGCAGCCGATTTGGAAATTTTTATGTGAAGAACACAGGTTAATTTCCTAGGGAAAAGAACATGGGGTTTGAAGTCAGAGGAGATCCTAGCTCTGCCACTTTACCTACTACCAAGGGAACACAAGTATTAAAATGTGACAGACTTCACCTTTCTGGAGCTCAGTGTTTTCATTGTTACATGAGGAGGTTGGAAGGTTTCTAAGATTTTTTCCAGCTTCAAGTCATATAAGCCAGACCTGAGTCAGGAAGAGCTGAATTCAAATCCAGAATCAGCCACTTTACTAGCTGTGTGTTCCTAGACAAGTCACTTAATCGCTATTTGCCTCAGTTTGCTCGTCTGTAAAATGGGGATAATAATAGTACCTATCCTCTCAGGGTTTTTGTAAGGATCACATAATATTTGTAAAACACTTAGCACAATGTGTGGTATATATTAAATGCTTTATAAATATTAGCTATTATCATTATTGTTGTTAGTGCCCACAATTGAAATCCATATTCAGAGACTACTACACATGCCCAAATACTATAAAATCTTTAGGATTGGCATCCTTACTGAATCTTAGTGATGACCTTTGGAATTTCATTATAACAATCATTGCCATAGGCAAGGTGAGGCTTCTGGAGTTGCTGTTACAGGCTGCAGTTCTGACCCTTCCACATCCGAGCTTTCAGTTCCTTTCTCTGGGTCTTGGTTCCTTTATCTGTGACCAAAGGGGTCTCAATGAATGAGACATCGCAGACATTCCTTCCATCTATAAAATATATTAGAATGCTGTCATTCTGCTGCCAGTACCATGGCTAAGTGAAAAGGATGTGCTGAATTCTTATTTATTGTAAACTCTAGCTGAAAAATGTAAAACAAAAATAATGATAGTTCATATTTATTTGGCATTACAATGTTTGCAAAATGCTTCATATTCACTATTTCGCTTGAACCTTAATACAGCTTTGTGTAGGTGGTGCTCTTATCATTATCATTTTACTGATGAAGAAACTAAGGCTTGGGGATGTGAAATGCCTTGCTCCTGGTCATAAATTAAGTGACTGAGGTGGGATTCAAAACCAGGGCTTCTGACTCCATGCCCTGCACACTGTCAACTGTGCTATGCTGCCTCTCAAGTGAAAAATGGCAGGAGTAAAAGAGGAGATGCCATTCAGCCTTCAAGTATGGTCCTGCCTGAAGTGAAACCTGTGTCATGCAGGGTTCAAGAGTTTGAGGAAAATTAATTATTTTTGGATTTTCTTGTTTTTTCCCAAATGATCAGCTTTCTAACAATCACTTCTGGTGATAGAACTCCTGACCAGGGTTAGCTAAACCTTATTGATTGTGTTGGTTTTTTCATGGTACATCATTATAAGCCACTTACTATTTTGGTGATGCATTTCCTCCAAATGTCTTTACTTTTGATATTGATTATTGTCAGGAGAACTAAGGTGTTCCTTCAAAATATTTCGTTGATGCATTGAAAGTATGTTTTCAGTTGTAGTTAACAACAAAGTTTTGATTTTCATTTAACTTTTCAATAAATTCAAGGAACTATATTTTGGTGTATATACAATATAGTAGCTAAAAGGTTAAAAAAAAAACACAAAACCCTAGCCATTCATAAAGTAAAAAGAAAAATATCAAAACTTTAGACACCCAGAAATCATTTCATCATCTTTTGGCCTTGCCCTTTGTTATGCATTCAGGTTATTTCCTTCATTTAAAGATCCATTCTCCTTCCCTTAAAAAAAAATAAAATTCCACCTTCCCCAAAGAAAGCTGATCAGATCTGCTTTGAAAGTGTTTGGACTCCCCCTAGTGATCTTCATTTGGGGTTCCTTGAGCTTATGTCTGCAGTTATGACCTCCATTCCATATATTTCCATAGAGAACTGTATCTTCATCTTATTTATAATGTAACTTGAATTCATTAGAAGAAAGATATAACTGCTTTCATTTCCTGGGAAGTTTGTTAATTGAGAAGATACTACATAAGAGGAATTTTTAATAACTTTTCCATCCAGCTCATCACACTTGAATTCAGCTGAAAAATTATATTATTGAAATTTCCATTTTTATGTTTAAATAAAATAGGACAGATGCTTAGGGCTTGCCTAACATATGAATTAAAATTATGTTGAATCTTTCCTTCCAGATCTGGAAATAGTGGGTTTTATAGATATAGCTGATATTTCAAGCCCCCCAGTTCTGTCTAGGCATCTGGTCCTGCCCATTGCTCTTAACAAAGGTGAGTTCTCCTTTTAACTTTGGTGCATGTACAAAAGATCTTATAATCCAAATGTGTTTTAAATGGTCCATACAGTTAAAGAGGGATATTTACTTTATAGGATTTTGTTTTTTTGGGTGTTGTTTTTTGTTTTTTGTTTTTGGTGAGACTTGCCCAGGGTCACACATCTAATAAGTGTCAAGTGTCTGAGGCCAGATTTGAACTCAAGTCCTCCTGACTCCAAGACTGGAGCTCTCTATCCATTGCGCCACCTAGCTGCCCCACTTTATAGGATTTTAGAGAAGGAGAGATTGTTGTATTGGGTTAAAAAAAAACAAACTGTACAGAGCCTAACAAATCAGAAAAACAATAATGCTGCTCCATATCTCATGCCATCACTCAATCACTCCAGGGACTCTTAGGATGCAAGACATTATCCAAGGTGCTGTGAGGCATTCAGGGGTCCTGAATCTTTTAAGAAGCTCTCTCAGTTTAGATGAAGATGAAACATAATTGAAAACTCACAGGATCTGTGACTTTGTTGGTGAGGGTACCTTCTCCACTGCTCACCACATGCATTTTATGGCTCCCTCTGGCTTGAGGGCATAGGTGGGCTCTGGGAGTGTCTGGGACCACAATATTCCTCATCTAGCTTGCTGATGAGCCTTCCCGAATTTATCTAGGCTGGACCTCAGGCAACATACAATCACTGCCCATTACTCACGGTCTTTCCAGTTTGGTACCAAACCTGTCTGAACTTGTGTTCTTTTGTCATAGCCTTCAAAAATCCAGGGTCACCTCCACAGCACGCTGAGACTACAGAGTAGAATTTCTCCTTGTTGGTTCCTCTACCTTTTAAAGGATCCTTTTGAAAACTGAGTTTTACATTCTTTAGGTTTTGCATAGTAGCTGTTTATTTATATTTAAATTGATTAATTTCAACATTAAAGTATTGTAACAAATTTTCATTCCCTCTAAAGTTTCCATCAGGATTCTTTGTCCATTCATTTACATTCACGTTTCCTCTTAAATACTCATAGTCATGGTTAATGTGTACTTCATGCTTGGTTCTACTTTTTTGTCTTATGTGTCATTTCAGAAAGGTCTTATATTTCTTTGCATTCCTCATACTTGTCAATATTAATTACATTATGGTATTCCATACATTCTCATTACAATTTATTTTACATTTTCCTCTTGTTGGTCATTTGGTTTTATTCCAGTTTTTTGCAACTACTTGTAATGAAAAGCTCTTTTCTTTAAAAAAAAAACTTTCAGTGTATATTCCCATAATTGGAATTATTAGCTTAAAGGGTATGTGTATTTTTGTAACTTTTATTTAGTATTGCCAGATTGCTCTCCAGAAAGAGTCTACAAATGTACAATTGCATGACAAAGTTATTTTCCCCTAGTTTTTCAGGGATTTTGTATTTGAACTTTGTCTAACCAGTTTCCCTCTTTGCTTTTGCATAGAAGGTGATGAGGTAGGTACAGGCATCACTGATGATAATGAAGATGAAAATTCAGCTAATCAGATTGCTGGCAAAATACCCAACTTTTGTGTCCTGCTCCATGGCAGCCTGAAAGTAGAAGGAATGGTGGCAATTGTTCAGTTAGGGTAAGGATCCTTCAGGTCTATCTAAAGGTCATTCCTGTCTCAGGAATTCTGATTCAGTAAATGCAAAGTGAGATACTTCTCAAATTTGAAGGAAATGGATTTAATTCTACATATTATGTATTTTTACATGTATATATATACATATATATATGTATATATACACACACACACACATGCATATGTTTATTATATGTGTGCACACATATATTAGAAAGTGAGAGACAAGTTTCTCATTCTAGAGGAAACTAAGGGGTAGGGAGATATACATCTATATGATAAATATAGATATAGTGTATATATGTCTATATCAATATGTACATATATTTATGTTATAAATCTACATAGCATATAGATATTATACATGTTATATAGTATTATATTGTATATTACACATGTATAGATGTGTATATCTCTATATTGATATATATCTCTCTATATATGTATAATATATAGGTGAGAAAGGGTTAGAAGACAAACAAAGTGCTCTTAACCCCTGTGCCTCTTTTAGAGATGGCTCTGCCCACAGGAAACATTGTGCAGACTCAGGATTTTATATCAATGAGGTAACTGATTTTTTTAGGCAAAAAAAAAATGATTGTAGAATAGACTTGTTAAATGTTAAGTGGGGTTTGGGGGTAAGGAGGTATGAGATAGCATTGCCAGCCTTGATGTTCCTCTGATCTTCCATATTTTTTTTACACAGTCCTGAGTGGCATGGGATGCTATACTCTCAAGCCGACAGCAAGAAGAAATCAAATCTCATGATGTCTCTCTTTGAGCCTGGCCCAGAACCTCTCCCTTGGTTGGGGAAAATGGCACAACTGGGGCCTATTTCAGGTACAACTTTTATAAGGTCCTACTCACTCCTCTGTTTTCCTTGTATTTTTTTTTTCCTGTTTGCCCTATTTTTTTTGTTCTCTGGCTACCATATTCATTCCTTAAGAGAACTCCCTTCCTTTGAGCATTATATTTTTTGAATATGGAATAAATTGCTCAGATTTCCATTTAAACAGAGATTGAAAAGCTTACTTTAAAAAAAAAAGGTAAAACTTCATTTTTGAACTTAGCACGTGCACGAGATATTTTAAATCCCAGTAATCCTGCAAAGTAAAGAGTTTCTCAAGTTGTTTACAAACAATCCTTTGGAGTATGTGATTTCAAGTGTCTTGAAATAGACTTTTCCATCTACAATAGGAAAATTTTCTCAATTCAGTAGTTATTTATTTAACACCTAGCATTTGCTTAGCATGCTGCTAAGTGCTTTGGGAGATACAGAAGAAATATAAGCTACTATATCTACCCAGAGTGAGCTTATAGTTTTATTGGATAGACAAGACATACTGTATTAGTCTAATGTAGCTTGTTCTTTCTGGCTTTGGGGGAAAGGAACTACTTGGCACCCTCACCAGAAAGGTTGAATCATTAAATGGTGATAGCAAAAGGATACACATGTATTGAAGTGATATTAGCCATGTAGTGTTCTTGTGTCCCAGCATTACCAGTGTTGGTGTGCAAAGCAGGCTTCTCTCAACAAAAGGGGTTTGCATCGTTTGAGACAACAGAATTCAATGACCCAATTCCCCTTTGTAATCTACTTCTATATATCATCTTATGAGAGGAAGAAGTGTTCATAGTGACAGCATCAGGTGACCCCTTGTTTCAGTGCTGATTTGTTAGCCCCTTCTATCGACCTTCCTCTCAGGCTTCACGATCCCTCATGTTATGGCAATAGCTGGCTTGTAAAAGAATCTCTAGTACAATGTGGGGAGGTTGGCTCATTCTCTGTTTCAAGCAACTACACACACACACACACATTCATATGCAGGCATGATGTAAGATAGAGAAGCTGAGTGTATTACTCCTTCCATTATCTGGAAAAGGAATTCTTAGACCTCTTGGCTAGGCATAGTTTCCAGTAAGTCTGCTCTCAAGTGACTCAGAAGAACCTGCATGCTTTAAGTCCCATTACACAGACCATCACATAAAAATTTTTGGGACAACATAAGACAGTAAATAACCAGGTTCCAAAATGTGTACTGTTAGCATTAAATACTACTATATATAAGAATGAGAGTGGTATGAGTGGAATCTGTCCTCTCTGGAAGAGAAGGTTTATATTGGCCAGAAGTTAAAATAGGGTTGCATAATTAGAATGGTACACACGGAAGAACACTGAGGTAAGATTATGGAGGGCCATGAATATGAGGGTGAAGAACTTGCCTCAAACCCATGCTGTAATTAGTAAACACTTTGACCAGGAAGCAGGTGCCCTTTAGTAAATGCAAATTTAGTGATACTTTAGTGATACTTCCATTTCTGCAGATAGGTTAAAAGATGAAATGTGTCTCTAGGAGTTTTTAGGGGCAATATTTGAAAATGCCACGAGATGGAGATATTTCTCCATTTAAGTCTTTCTCTGCTTGTTCTTTATCATTTTCTTTGTATCACTTGCTCATTCTTGTGGAGTCTTATGTTCCCTATTAGTTTTAAAAGCAAATGAATAGAATAAGTTTAGTAATTCTTAGAAAAAAATGGACAATCTCTTTTTTGCTTATGTGAACCTCAGTTTATTTTTCCTTTGGATCAATGACCCAAGATAGTGGCCTTCCATAAAAAAAGATTCCTTAGCCCTGAGAAACTATTGGAATTTTTTGAGTAGAAAACTGACCTGTCATAAGGTTGTAAGTGCTCTAGAGGTAATTTAAACTTAATTTTTGCAGCCTTTTTCTGCTATTGGTTGATTAGAAATTTAACTTCATGTTTAGAGAAATGGATTTAATGCCCTCTAGGTATAAATGTTATTTCCTTGATCTAAGGTTGCTAGAGCATCATTTTTAGAAAGCTTCATTTCCTTTAAGATGCCAAAGAAAATCCTTATGGTGAAGATGATAACAAGAGTCCTTTCCCCTTGCAACCTAAAAACAAGCGCAGCTACGCCCAGAATGTGACTGTGTGGATTAAGCCGAGTGGTTTACAGGTAATGCCTTCACTTTGCTTTGTCATCAGTGATTGGAGCTGTGATTCCAAAGTTCCCCTATTTTGAGGGGCGTGGTGGCAGACAGAAACAGATCCTTACTTTTATAAGGGTAATATTCCTCCTGCTCAAATATAATAACTTTTAAAAATAAAGTCACATCTGTAATTGGCTGCCCACTGAAGCACATTTTCTATTTGTTCTTCCAAAATAAGCAAAATCAGGAGAGACATTTGGGCCCCAGGACCAAGAAAAGACTTTCTACTCATCCTGTGGCTTCTCCTGATTTCCTGCCCAACAGATACTAGGAGTCAAAAGCATCTTCTTTCTTTTTTAAGTTCTCTGTCTCTGGCCCGGTCAGCTCCCAGCCATCTCCCTACAAGTTTCCTTGGGAGGAAAGCAATGAGCTTATGAAAAGGAAAAGCACGTACAGAACTTCGAAATTTAAAAAATGTGCCTGTAGTCATCAAGCTGAAAAGAAAACCACAGAGGTAGCTGATGAGTTTTAGATATGTAAAAAGTTTTATATGTATTTCTTTTTCACGAGATCATTTGCAGATTAACCTGCCTCCCAAGACGATGTGTGAATGCTTCATGTTCATTTATAAAGCCCCCTGAGAAAAAAGCACTATGCATGTATTTAAAAAAATAAATACAACAGAAATAAAGTCAGACAGTGAGGAATCCTCACACTGACAGATCTACTAAGTGGAATTATTATAGTTTATTGAATTAGTATGTTCAGAAACATTTCTCACTCTTTTCCACTCTTCCTCTTCCTACCTGATTAGTAACAAGTTTTTCCCTCCTTTAATAGACAGATGTACAAAAGATTTTAAGAAATGCAAGAAAACTGCCTGAAAAAACACAAACATTCTATAAGGTGAGAATGATGGGATCAGGGACTTTGGGGTAGGTACATTTGATTAAGTGAACCAAGGTCCTGCTAAACGTGATTGGTTGATAACAAGCTATTTTATATTTTAAGACAAGACAATTGGATACCTACTTTATCCTTCTGCCTCCAGATAGGAATTCTTGTCAATAGTTATTTCCATCTGGGATGAGATACTTCTAAATGTTTGTGAATTCCTATTGGGTTTGAATCTCATAGGACTGTAAATAGCTCAAACTTCTAAAAAAAAAATTATTGTTGCCTTTTGTTTTTTGTGCTAGTCATTACCTAGTGTAGAGACCTTCCTGTAACAAAGAAAAACAACTAAGCAAAACTGAGCAACACAACAGCCATTAATGGTAGTGTGTGCAACATTGTCCATCCATAGTTCCCCACCTTTCTACTGAGAGAAGGGAAGTATATTTCATCATTGGCCATTGAATTTAATCCAAATTCACCTCTGTTTAGTATTGTTTTCATTTATAATATCATAGTCATTGTGAATACTGTGCTTCAGGTTCTGTTTTCTTTACCCTGCATCACAACATGTAAGTCTTTACACATTTCTCTGAATTCCTCATATTTGTCATTTCTTGTGGAGTATTTTATTACATTTCTGTGTCACAGTTTGTTCAGCCATTCTTCTCTTCCCACCCTCATTGAAACGCCAAACTTTTCAATAGTTTTACCACAGAAGTTGTGTCCCAGAACTACTTGTGAAAAATAAGTATTTATGAATTGGCCTAGCGTTAGCTTTAGGGTCATCAGAGGTAATAAAGATGCAAAGGAGGAAACTTTGATGTCTCGTAACTCCATTGTCATTCCAGAATATAACTGAAATTCATTTAAAGAACAGCATGGAATAGCCTGACTTGTCATTGTTGGTGCCACATCTAACTAGATACGGCCCCCGAGGATGATCTCTTGATCTTGGAAGAACATCCTCCAGGTTCTCTGCCTTTGAGTGCTCCTTCTGCTGTGCCGCGCCTCCCATTAGCATGGCCTTAACATCACTGTGCACTCTCAGCTTTGGCTCAGACCTTCCAAACATGTTACAATCTGAAACATAGTCTGATGGACAGCATAGCTGGAGTTCATCTCATTCCCATGAGATATTCCCGTGAGGTTCAAAGAAGGATCCTTATCACCACCAGGCCTTTCACACTCACCAGCATGTACACACATTTGCATAAAAATACTGGCAAATGCATTGTTAAACTTTTGAAAACAGGTTTCTTCTGAGCACAAGTAGACACTTAAATATTGGATGTTCTTGTTTTTCCACTACCTATGTGACTATTTCTCAGGTCTCCTTTGCTGGCTCATCATTCATAACACACCATTAAACTATGGGCTTTCTCTATGGCACAGTCCTGTGGTCTCTCTTCTCATTCTGTTCTCTTTTTCAGTGACCTCAATCTGGTTAAATGATCATTTTTGTGCAGATGATTCTCAGAGATCAGTATATCCAGTCCTAACCCCTCCCTTGAGCATTAGCCCCATATCTCCAGTTGCCTATGAGACATTTCAAGCTGGATATCCCAGAGACATTTTAAACTCAACATGTCCTAAGTAGAAATCAGGGGCAGCTAGGTGGCGTGGTAGATAGAGCACCGGCCCTGGAGTCAGGAGGACCTGAGTTCAAATCTGGCCTCAGACACGTAACACTCACTAGCTGTGTGACTCTGGGCAAGTTACTTAACCCTAATTGCCTCACCAAAAAAATAAAAAAACAAAAATCATCACTTTTCTCCCCAAAGTGATACTATGTTTAAAAACCAGGTGTGATTCTAAGGTAATGAGAGAGAGAGAGAGAGAGAGAGATCATTAATGTTCTTTTTTTTCCTCATTCATTTCAAAAAAAAAAAAAAAACTTTTACCCCTCTTCAGATTTCCCTATTTCTATCTAAGGCAGCACCATCATTATTCATCTCCCAGACTCATAACTTTGGTGCTACCTTTACTCCTCATTCTCCTTTATCCCGTAGTTGTAAAATCTTGACATTTCTACCTCCACAAAATCTCTCCTATCTGACTTTTCTCTACATACATGTTGTTATTGAGTCATTTTAGTCGAGTCCAACTGGGGGTTTTTAGTCCCATTTGGGGTTTTCTTGGCAAAAATACTGGAGTGGTTTGCCATTTCTTTCTCCAGCTCATCTTACAGATGAGGAAACTGAGGCAAACAGGGTTGAGTGACTAGCCCAGGCTCACACAGTTTGTGTCTGAGGCCAAGTTTTAACTCAGGAAGATGAACCTTCCTGACTTAAGGACCAGTACTCTATCCACTGTGCTACCTAGTTGCCCACCTCTCTACTTACTTAGCTGCCTCCTTAGTTCAGCCCCCATCACCTGTGAACTAGATTATTGCAACATCCTCCTAAATGGTCCCCTTGCCTCAAATATCTCCCCATTCTAATCAGTCCTTCACACTGTTATCAAAGTGACTTTCCTTAATTGCACATATAATCATGTCACTGCCTTAAGTAACTCCAGTGACACCCTCTGACTTCTATGATAAAACATAAACCTTTTCGTTTTTATAGTTCTTCACAACCTGACCCCAACCCATCTTTCCAATCTCAGTGTACATTACTTCCCCCTTCTACCCAAGCTGGCCTTCTCTGTTCCTCATACAACACTCTATCTCCTGTTTCTTTTACCCTGTGCCCCTCATGCCTGTAATACACTCCCATCTCACCTCCACCTTTTCGAATTCCAGTCTTCATTCAAGGCTCAGTTCAAGTACCACCTAAATGGAGCCTTTTTTGATCTCCCCAACTTCTAGAATTCTGCCTCCCAAACTACCTTGTACTTATACCACTTTGTTATTATTCTCTTCATATTTATTCTGTATGTGCACATATGTTTGTATCCCCAGGGTATGACATGTAGTTGGTGTTTAATAAACATTTATTGGCTGATGAAATTTTTCTTGATTTTTATGAAAAAGACTTACTCCAAAGTAGCATTTCATTTGTGTTTTGTTTCAGGAGTTAAACCGTTTACGAAAGGCTGCCCTGGCATTTGGCTTCCTGGATCTCTTGAAGGGAGTAGCTGACATGCTAGAAAGGGAGTGCACCCTCCTTCCTGACACAGCCCACCCTGATGCTGCATTCCAGCTATCTCATGCTGCCAGGCAACTCAAACTAGCCAGTACCGGTACCTCAGATTACACAGCTTATGATCACAATATCACCCCCCTTCAGACAGACTTTTCTGGAAGCAGCACTGAAAGAATGTGAAGTTGGCTTGTTTGGGGAACATTTTCTTTGAGAGAGAGACTTCCAAAGTGGGAAGAGGAGTCAGGAAATGAAAACCTGTATCTAAAGAATCTCCCCCCAAAATTCCTAGAAGTAGTTAACTCCTTAGCTTCCATGGTGGGGAGAAATGTGTCCAAGGCTCTGGTTTCTGAAGGACACTAGTTGTTTGTGCTATGCAAACTTCCTAGGCAGCTTTGGCTGGGAGTGGAGCTCTCTAGATCCTCGAGCAGCTGTATGGAAACTCACCAGTAGGAGCTTTCCCTCCCTGACCTCCAGAAAGGGGTTTGCTCTCCTGCTTTAAAAGCCAACCAGCAAAAGGACAGGAATTTTCTCTAACATCTGCACTTGGAATGAACAACTCAGACAACCAAGAGATTGCCCTTGTTAAACCTTAAGTAAAATGGTGATACTGATGATGCTGTTTAAGATGCAGTTTTAAAAAATGATACATATAGTACATATAAAAATGATTGGGGCTTTTTTTTTAAGTTTTAAGGTAAATGAACAATAAAAGCCTTGATTTTATAAAATGGTTTCACTTGGAGACTAATACTTCCAATTTCATTTGTTTTCCAACCTATTTACCAAGTATAATTTCAATTTCCTTATAATTAACCCATCAATATTTAAGTCTTAATCTACAGGATTTTAAGAGTTTACTGAAACAGTACAGGTCTCAAACAACACGTCCCCTTGAATTGCGCTTTGGGTTAGGCTGTTTGTGCACAAGTTTATTACCTTCCTAATCACTGCATATAGGCCAAGGTTCAGTCAAAATCAAGTTCTGGCAAAATGAAAGAAAAATCTAAGGTAGGAATAGTTATGTAATTTTTTTAAAAAATGGCACTGAATTGAGAATGAGGAGATCTGCGTTCTTGTCCCAGCTTTGTCACAAACTAGATATGAACTCAAGCAGCAACTCCATCCATCTTCAGCTGATCTACAAAAATGAGAGGACTGGACTTCAGGGGTTCTTGACCTTCTTTGTCATGACCCACTTCCACAATGCCTTTAGATGCGTAAAACAAAATGTATAGGCGTAAAAAGGAGACCAATTATTTTGAAATAGTCATCAAAATATTTTTTTAAAAAGCCAAATTCAAGGACTTGGAACCCGTGGACTAGATGATCTCTATGATCTCTTACAGCTGTTTCAGTGACTATGCCACTCAGAGCCTCTGAAAACGTGGACAAGCAACATTTCCCATCGTTGGCTGGCTGTTCCATAGTTTCCTATGGAAGCAACATTGTGCCCAATATGGAAGAATGTCTTAGATAAAAGTTTTATGAAAATAAAAGTTAGAATGAGTCCAAATTAAAGCAAATGAATCTGCCATGGAAGTACTTTAAACTGAGGTAGAATCTGATATTCCTATCTTCAGGATTCTGAAAAAAGCACCACAAAAAACACAGGTTTTGACTGTAAATGTTTTAATAGAAATCAACCATCTTTTGCCTCCTCAGAGACGGTATAATAAGATCCATGACAATCACGAAGAATACAAGTTTTTTCCTTGATAGTGCAGGCTACTTGACTGCAAAGCTGAAATGCCTGATTTCATAAGAACTCAAGTTGAAAGAACATATCAGAAGTCAGTATGAACAAGTTAAGTGTTGATGAGAAGCTACAGGCATGCAAAACATTGCCCTACCAAGGAATAAATTAAAAGAGGGGAAAATGCCTTCCTTATGCTAATTAAGTGTTTGATATCAAGCCAAGATACTGTCCTAGGCTCACAGCTCCTGTAACTATAAAGCATAAATCATTGTGTGATCCCCACGGCAGGAACAATGATTTATGTTCCAGGACAGGGCTGAAGGATCTATTTATGCCTTGAATGCTTTTCTTCAAATGTTTCTTCTAACAGACTTTCTATATGGTTTACTCAAAATGCAGTGGAGAAAACCCTATTAATCTTTAAAACAAGTGATCTTTTTTCTTTCAAATTCTTTCTACCCTGCTAGGATGTTTCCTTCCAAAATCTCTTACTGACACCACCTAGCAGACTGCCAAATTCCCAGCTTTGTTTTCCCAATTATGCTACAATGGTAAGTGAAAAAGTCACTTTAACTGCAGTAGAATGAAGGCAGCTACGGTCTTTCCAAAAAATTGCTTTTTCCACTATTGTTTTACAAATAGACAACTGAGTGGACTCTGTGCAGTAAGCACAGATAAACCAGTATCTTATGGTTGAGCACTGCCTTAAATTTACTGTGTTCATTCCAATGACATGATTTTTAAAAATTATTTAACTTCAACAGAAGTTTAGGGAAAAAAAAAAGGGTTACTTGCAATTAAGCCACCAAAGAGACAGTGAATGGCTCCAGGTTTGATTCCTGTCATTCTCTCAAGCCTTTTATTCTCTATCCAATGCCCACACAATCAAAACTATAGCAAAAAAAAAAAAAAACTATAGTGGGGGGTGGTCTACCAGCAATAAGAGGTACGGTAGGTTCAGCAAAGATTCTAAGACCACAGAGTCTATCCCCAGTATGGCTCAAGTAAAAGTTTTATCAGTGGCTGGGCCTAAACTGATCATCAAAAGATTGACCTTGTGGTAACTCAACAAATAACACATGATACTCATGCTTTTTTTGGTCTCTGAGCCTTATGTCTACAGCTTTCAGTTATCTGTAACAGAGCACCATCTTGCTTTTCCTTACAAGCCAGTGTTGAAAATGAGAAATCTCAACTAAGAAAATGTACAACACAAGGTTCTGCCTTTCAATGCTCAGTAGATATAGTTGGCTGGCTGACAGAAGCAGAGATTGGGGCAAATCCTCCTATTATCACTAAATATACAGTATATGCAGGAATTATGTGCTGTTCTTAGGATGGTGAAAATTAGGAGTCAAATTTAGTTGGCTGAACATGAGGGTTACCAGTCATGCATGTTCTGTAGTGAAGTGGTATATAATAAGTACAGGAATGTTACCTGGGGCTGTGGAATCAATGAAAATTAAAATTATTAAACTTTTAGAAAAGCCTTTGTATTGGCATAATAGATAAAATCATTAAGAACTGCAGATTATGATTAATCTGGTAAGAAGTCATTTGCTGCTCTGCTTAGTTGGTTTTTCTCTTTTTGGGTCCATAGCGCCGCCTTCGTTGTTTATAAAGGTGACGGAAATTTACAAAGAGTCCTAAAATGTAAGTGAACAAATATTAGAACTCAGAACACTGGTATCAATGTAATTACAACCAGGGTGATTCTGGAGGGTAAGGTTGAAGTGCTTCTAGCTTGGCTTCTAGCATAGTGCTTCCCACATCTGTCACTGGCAGAAACTTGTTGAATGAAAGCCATTGCTCTATACCAGTGGTTCTCCAAAGAGTGGGCTGGAAAATGTAGTTATTTTTCATAAAAAACATGTTAATATGTAGGGTGTTTATTATTGTTATTTTTAATGAATTAATAAGCACTTTTAAACTATCAAACTTTAATTCCTAATTCAGTAAAAATATCAATATAACCTACACAAACAAAAGCTATTTGGGGTTCTCAATAATGTTTATGAGTGTAAAGGTGTGAGACCAAAACATTTGAGAACCACTGCTCGAGGCCATTAAATGAAGAGGCATTTCCCACCAGAATAATACTAAGTCAATTATCACTAAGCATGGATTTAAAGATTATTTTACACTTTTGTGAGGAAAAGACAATCTTGGGAGCTTGTATATTAAGGATAAAGGGGGAAGAAGAACTGCACATTACGAGACAAGGAAACCACATAACCTCACTCGTCAGCTGCCCAGACTTTTGCTTCTTTCCGGGTTGTCCCAGGTTGTATTTTGGATAACAAGTGACTGACTATATATATAAACACACACCAACATATATATATACACATATACACACATACACACACTAATTCTGGAATTCTGGATTAGTGGAACACAGCTACAATTACTCCAGGTAGAGAGAACATCCTGAACAGGATTATTTAAAAAGCTGTGATCCTTGAAATGGACATGAAGCACAAAATGGAACCCCATTAATTAAAGAATTAAGTTCTACCTTAATAATAATGCTGTTCTTCAAAAATGAAGTGTCACGTCCTATTGATAGTGTCACTGAGTACACCAATCATGATTCAGGCTTTAAGGCTTACACATGAGTGAGCTGCCTAAAACAAATATCATCCCCATCTCTGGGGAAAAGAAGACAGTGGCTAAGGCACTTATCCAATGCCACCTGGGTAGCTGAGGCTCAAATCTGGGTTTTAATCCAGATGTCTTGACTTTAGTCCAGCACTCTATTAGCCCGGCTTCACCACCATGGAGTAGCATTTCTTAGGTAAGCTACGTTCAGTCTCTTTCTAAGGGGAGTTATCTAAAACACAGACTCGATCACTGTTTGACCTTGGGGCTAAAGAGTCATTCAGTACATGTGAGAAGTGTCGAAGGGTCCAGAACAGACCATTCCAAGCACAACCTTGTCCTCAACTACCCCACAGAGATGGTGTTTATAGTCTTTGCATTCAGGTGGCCAGGAAAAAAAAAGCAAAATTCATGGCCAGAAGTGATTAGACAAATTTTAGCAATTTGGGGAGCAAAAATTTCAGCTCAGATGAGTATTTTCTCCACCTACGTGACTTTCTACAGGTTTTTGTGCTCTCTTCTAACCACCATAGCACTATCAGAAAAAAAAATTTCTGAAGATGGCCTGGTAAAGAACACACTTCTGATGATGGTTTACCTGAAGAGCCAATACTTACCTAAAAATATTATTATAAGATAGATTTGAAGAAAGAATGAAAATTTGACTGTGATGTTCAGTGGATATGGCAACGTAAAGCTGAATTTGCCCGTCTCACTAAATAATGGAATAGACTGGATGACTGAGACAGCTGAAAGCAAAAGGTAACACTTGTCAGAGAGAGGCAAACCAATGCAGTCATATCTGATGTCATAAACTTTTCATATTTTACCCTGAAAATTCTGATTTCATATTTGTTCAAAATATCCTTTCAAGAGGTTTTCCTTTCTTTCTGTTTCTAAATCTTCACAACTCCAACTATCAACATAGATTTCAATGGCCTACAAAATAATTCCACAGCTAAGCTACCCCCAATGGGATTCCCTGTATTAGGGGTCCTAGGTCTGGAACTAATGGGAGGGACATCATCATCTGTGATAGAGAGATTCCCAACTTCTACTTTCTACATCAAGTTCTGGGCCAGGGGCCTTCCTAAAAGAAAGTGAGATGTTTCCACAAAATGATACCACTGTGCAACCAGACACAAACATACTTCATACATTTCTATATACTTCTGCATTATCTAAATTTCATTTGATTTTTTTTCAACAGATGGGACAAGATTATCCCCAACTGAAGTTAAGAAAACTGAGCCTAGGAGCTTAAAAATCTCACAGCTGGTTAATGGCAGGCAGGTTTCCTGACAATTAAGAACAATGCTCTTTTCTCCATATTAATCCTGCCAACTCTGTGTGTGAGGCACTAAAGAAAGAAAATCAAGTAAGTGTGAAGAATGACTCCAGTCATTCAAATGAGCCAGTCTCTCCAGACTTAAAATCTATATTTTCATTTTACTTTGAGGTTTTTTGGTCCGAACAACTTCTGCTGTCATCATGCAGTCACTCCTGATTGATCAGAAAGCAAACTGCCAAAATATCCAATTACAATTTCCATTAATCTTAATTTTTTTCTCCCACTGCTTCCATACCTGATAATGCCTTCACACTAGCCAATCACCATGGTCAAATGGAACAAGGTCTCACCTGGGGATCTAGTCCAAACTCTGAGAAAGTTAATTATCTATGTGACCTTGATCCTATCACTTTGATCTCTCTTGACTTTAGTCTTCTCATCTCAAAAATGAATTGTACTTAACTAGTCTCATGTATCATTGGTAAATAAAACCCAAAATTCCTAAAAAATACCTTCTGCCAAACATCCCAGAGGATAGCAAGGAATCCAGATGGAGTATCGGATCCATGTGAGTAGTTTCCATTCTATGTCAATGCAGGCAAGCATGTAAAATGGATACCTATTGCAAACAAGAAACCGTTTTGTTTTGTTTTTTAGAGGTCACTTTCTAAAGCCTCGAGAGGCTCACTGTCTCTTTAAAAAGTATAGTCATACAATCCCAAAGGACTAATGATGAAGCATACTATCCACCTCCTGAGAAAGAAGTGATATTGTTTGAATACAAACTGAAGCATGCTATTTTTAACTTTCATTTTTTTCTTTTATTCGCATCTTCTTGTACAAAATGATTAATATGGAAATGTTTTACATAATTGTACATGTATAAAATCTGATTGCTTACTGTCTCAAGGAGGGAGACA